TACTTTACTTTACTTTACTTTTCGGGTAAAGTAGATCTACTTTACTTTACTCGATAAAGTAAAGTACACCAACTTTACTTTATCCGATAAAGTAAAGTAGGATTACTTTACTTTACTTTAATAAAGTGAAATAAAGATAAAGTGCCACCCCTAATCGCACAACAAAAATCTTCTCAACATTTTTATTATCATGTTGTATTTTTTATATGATTTGTTTTGTTTTCTTATTACATTTCATACTCAACAGTTGTACAAGTCGAGCAGGTGTATGTAGATAGTGCTCGATCTCTGCTAGCCAAAATATAAATGGATTAAATTAATCTTATGCAGTTTCAATAAAAAAACAAAAAAGTGGGGCCAGACGATTGATGTGCACTTTGTCATAGTCTATGAGATGTAATGATTCGATAATTCCACCCTATATACTTCCACTCATCTCAAAAATCATGTTTTACGAAGTACATAACGAATTTAAAGACTTTTGGATAATTTCTAACATTTGACTTTTAGTTTGTTTTTACCTTTCCAACTGATGTTCTTCCAGCTCTTTTGCGTCGTTGTTGAACAGAATTTTTTGTAATTTGTCCAATTTTTAATACTTCTATTTTCTTTTGTTCATTCCATATCTTTTCTTTCTTCATTCCACTGTCCACGACATGTTTGACTCCATCAATAGTAATTGAACTTTCTGCTATATTGGTACTGAAAATAATTTTACGCTTATTGGGCATCTTTTCAAATATTTGTGTAATTTCTTTTTCAGACAATTCTTCATGCAATGGTAAAGCTATATATGATCTATCATTTTCCAATTTCTTATTTAAATCAGTTAGAGCTAAATCGATTTCATCTTGACCTCTTAAAAATACTAAAATATCACCGCCTTCGTCACTTTGATGTATTTCAATAGCTTTTGTAACTGCTGCTTGAACATAATTTTCGTCCTCATCATCCATATAAATATCTTCAATTGGACAGGTCCTACTACCAACTTCTAATGTCTCACATGTAAAGTTACTTACAAAATAGTTATAAAAAAGACATGTGTCTATTGTAGAGGACATGACGATAAGCTAAAATAAGAATAATTTATAAAGCAAAACCAATCTTAAAATTCACTTTGGATTAAACTAACCTTTAAATCCTTTCTTTTTCTTAAACATTGCTTCATTAATCCAAGTACAATGTCAGTATCGATTTTGCGTTCTTGTGCTTCATCAATGACAACGACTGAGTACTGTTCTAACATTGGACTGTTTTGATATTCATTGAG